AATGACTACTCAGGAGCCTTAAGCACTAAAGATCCAGTTTCTGACCGCAGGCATTTAATTTTTAGTATCGTGTTTCTCACATATGCGGTTTAAAATAAATTCTTATCATTTATTTTAAAATATTTCAGAAAGCACGCGACACGTTCGCTTTGTAAGCTTCTGAGTAAGCAGTACTTTTATTTTTGAATTGTAAAATCCACTAACGCGAGAAACAGTCTTGCAATTTGCAAGACCTCAACGACCGTAATGAGATGCGATATGCGTGCTCTCAAGAACATGTAGTCACGTAGTCTTGACGGTATTAGATAAGCAGGTGATTCGTGTACTCGTCCAACGATAGACTACGGAAAGCGGTAGGGTAGGTACCCGGTTGAGTTTCCGACTCGTTGATTTACTAGTGTGTCAACTCGACGCAAAAGTCACCTTGTCGGCATACATACATATTTCTCGACAATCATGCAGAAATCCGGTTCTTACGGTAATCGAATCGGATGACAGGAGTAGGTAAACCGCGCAACGAGTTTTGCGCGTACACAGGTGCATCGATTACGCATCTGTGTCAGAAAATACATTATTTATGAAAGCTACTCCCGACGAAAGCGACTTCTACATCACTCGTATTTCTACTTTCGCTGCTGTAACCTATATGTGTCAATAGAATAGTCATCTATCCGTTCTCGGAAAGAACGGTTTTACTGAAGTATCTAAAAATTTGACTAAATATAGCACATCTGAAAATAACCTTGTTTGAAATAATAATGGAGGACGAACAAGCTAGTTGCTAAAATGTCAAAATTTTTTGCAGCATTGTCCATCATTTTTAAGTTTCCTACATAATTATTTTGATGGTTTAACGACATTATTTTGAAGTATGTTACTGGCTAAATTTTTAGATACTTTAGCAAAATCGTTCTTTTCATATCGAAATGCTATGAAAAGATAGTATCTTGCATCTATAATATATACGTTATTTTTAAACAATAACTTGTGATTAGTGATTTCCCCCCTCCCTCCCCCCGATAGGGAGGACAATTATAGTATCATGCATTCAGTCATGAAATATTGCTTTCGTTTCTTTCATGCACACAACGTAAAATTTGTATTCACTATAATTGTAACACTCAAATACGAGTTAGTTGATATCGGCCACTAGATTCTCTCTCTCTCTCTCTCTCTCTCTCTCTCTCTCTCTCTCATCTGGATAAAATATCATCTCTTCCTCCAGCGGAATAGGCCCACATTATAAACATTGCCATAATTCATCAACTCATTTCGCCGTGAAAAACAAAACTCGAGTTAGGGCGATATCAGTAACAGCTAGTCCATACTCCTCTTCTGATCGTTAAGTCCGACGTACCTTCGGAAACCTCCATCGCGATGGACGATAGCTCGCTCCTGTACAATCGGGCACGCACATGCGAAGCCTGCAGGTGCGAGCGCGCGTACACACACGCAGATAACGACGTTCTTGAACGCAGATCGCGACGTAGATTTATCTGGCGCGAAGACCGCTGACGCTGTTTCCTCGCGCCACCGACTCCTCCCCTTTGATAATCGTGAGAGGGCCTCTCTCTTTCTCCCTGCCTGAATTCCGAATGTGGCGAGACACGGAGGTGAAGAGAACAAGAAGAAAGAAGCTGTGGCATTATGACAAAATGCTAAGACGCTTGGAATTCAAAATACAGTAATATGCCCATTTTTATTTCTCGATTTATAGACGTTTCAAAAAGATGACTCTATTAGAAAAACAAATCTATTTTTTTTATCTATACAAGCGTCTGTATCGTTTTGTTAGCTCCATTCATTTTTTATTGGAGACTCTTAATTAGAGTGGAATGTTGTTTGTGAGCTCAGAGAAAAAGATGTACTTCAGAAAGGTAGAGGGAAGACATAATCGTATATAGCTAAGAATTTATGTATTTGTATCAGATTCTCCATGACTATCCATCTTCGGGCATCATCCTAAGGGCTCATGTATGTACACTCTAAGGTGTTTGTATAGGCAGCAGGTAATCGAAGCCATACGATACGCCACAATTTTCTTCGGGAAAAACGAGAAGATTACGTGGTGTATAGAGTCAAGTAACCGGTTGTGGTAGAATCGTCTAACTGTTTAAAGCATAGCGTTGATAGATCTCAAATATGTCAATCTCCAAGAACGCATCTGCCATTTAACGATATTTTAATAGCCGTATCCTGTTTTGAAGTTGCGAATATCATCGGTAGAATCTCATTAATGTATTTGCAATTTATGTTACTTTGGAGAAAAAGCTACAGCATCGAATTTTTCTATCACTATTTTGTTAAAGAGTCATTCGATTATGTTCGTGTCATTGTTATCTGCGGTACGCCAGGATTGCTGACATTACGATAGTTTATAATCAGCATGTATTATTGGCCATTTATGTCACATTCTTAATTCAATATGCTATAAAGTTACATAATCGTAAACTTTTAACGAGGCGATTACGATCGCGTCTCCGCCTCTTCAAACGCGTATTCTTTCATTGATAATAATAGATGAGCCGATTTAACGGCGTAAATTACCTGCATTGAAACCGCGTCTGTCAATCGCATCGAAAAATGTGGACTTACGTGTGCCCGCTGACGTTACGGCGTGATTTCGATCCACGATCGATTCACGCTAGGTCCGCATCTCTGCACTTCACCGTGCCATTACTCGCAAGAAGAATTAATGTTCGCACGGAGAATAAATTCCCCTTTACATGGCAAAATAATTCTCGTAAAACGCGCACGCCGCTATATTCATAATTTAATGGCCATAATTTACCGATAGCCGTATATCCCGAGCGATGCTCGTGCCTAGGCAAAATATTACGTACGTCCGTACTTCTCGGCCGCTACAGCGATATAAATGCTCGGAGGATGGGCGGTCTTGATCGCGGCACGTATAAACAGGTAGGTCAGTTAGTCGGTGAAAATTGCTTCAGAGGGAACGCAAACCGAAGGTAGTCATCACAGCCCGTCTCTCTCTTTCGCGCACGCATAGACAATCCCGAAAGCGGTACGCCGTCATTGCTATACACAGAATGCCACGTGATGTAAGTGTATCTCGCAAATAATGTCTTAATCTCGGAAGCATTATTCGCTATACCGAGATACGGTGATAGGGAGGACCATTGTCTCGGTCGAAAGTGTGGTTGTGCTTCGTTAATACGTTGAATACTAAACTGGATAAAACACGTTATATTATGTACACAATATCAACGTTTGCTAATATTAAGCAATTCAAACATTGTTTCGCTAGGACTTACTTATATTATTCGATGCAGTTCATCATCATGAACTTTTTGCAACGCTAACAAATATGATCACATGTATAGATCGATAAATTAAATTAATAATTATTATACACCGTTCGTTCTAATTATTATTAAATTATTCAGTCTGTTAAAATATTACTATTTATTTAAAAAAAAAAACGTGAAAACATTTGATGAAAAATAATTACAGATATACATCAGTTTTTGATTAAAAAATTTACTTTCCATTGTGCAGTATATTGTCAATTTTTTTATAAACATATATAATACATTCTACGTTATTTTCAAGTTCCAAAGCAATCTTAAAACTTGATCTCGTGTAGACTGATAAATTTTACAAAAGTTGATAAATCAATTATGTCGCACTTGCTCAAACATTACGGAAACAAGTTGTAAAAGAAAAGATGATAAAAATAAACGTCAAATAGTGTTTAGCAATTCACTCATTCATCAACCAAAAGCGATAATCACGTAGCAGCGGGCTGCGACCGTTAGAACGACGTTGTTTCACGCGAGTAACGATCCTCGAGATCTCATTTACAGTACAAATTAGTCGTAGGCCGGTCCTGCGTCCTTAATGGCCGGTCGGCACGCAAAGAAGTTAAGTTTAATGAAGACCGCGCGTTATCCGTGACGAACCATACGCGCGCGTTCGCGTTCGCAGCCGGCCGTGTGCGAATGTGTGCGCGGCCATGCTCTCAGCGTACGCCGGCTGAATGCGACTTAAACGAAGATTTATGCCGCGACGCGTAAATATAAACAACAATGTGCAATCCCCGCGCATTGTCCCGTATGGTAGACGCCGTGAGAGTCGGCCAATGCGAACTAATAAGCTCGCCGTTCGACGCCATTCGCGCGCTCGGCGCATCGTCTTCGCGTGCACGCGAGGCACGCGTGTGTACTACACGCGGCCTCCGAACGATGGGGATCCAGCACCGGCTACCGTGTCTCCCGAGACTAATCAACGGAGGTGCATCGAGCGACCAAATCCATCCTCGTCTCCGCGAGAAGGCCGTTTTTTGCGCTCCGGCCGGCGGAAATTTGTCTGTCGCTGCCTTAATACACCGGCTGTCAGCCGCGTCGACGGTGATCCATCTCGGGATACTTTTGGCGAAGTAGACGAACTCGTTTCTCATACTTCAGTTCGTTGTTTTGCGATTTTTACTACGGCGCCTTTGGCGTGGTAAAGACGAGCGATAGCTCGACATGAATTTATATTAGAATGCATATCGCGTGTTATTCCTTTTCTGTTCGTCGATCGTTCTTATCTCGGTTCTCATTCTTATCTCGATAAGTGAATTAGTTAAAGTTAAATGAGATTTAATTAAGATTTATTAAACTCTCATGACCATATAAATAAAAACGAAAGAATTCTTCAAAAACTATACTAGTGATCTGAAAATGAAGTAATAATAGGCAATAAAATATTCGCATTATCTGAACGGTAATTTTAATGTATTTGAATATGCAATTATATATTTGAAAATACAAAGAATGAGCGAGATGCTTGGTATTTCAGTATTTTCGTGATATATTCGAAGTTTGATAGAACTTCAACCCTCGCGTTTACGGTATCGCGAAGCGTCGATATTACCATGAATCATGTCGAACGAAATTGTGCAATTAATTATCGCAACGGATGAGAGTGGCGGGAAAGGCTTTTAAGCCCATTTCCGCTTTTACGGACGTAAAACAGAAGTAACACGTAATACTCACACTTATATCCTCCATGCTGCAATTTCCGACATGCATTAATCCGTGATTAGCACAAATTTCCATGGGCGTCGTGCGAGAACGTAGATAAGGAGGCAACGCACATCAAACGCTTACTGTCACTCGTAGAAAACACGCTACGTGCGCGCAATATTCACGTGATATTCTTCCTCGGATAAATCACACGCTGGTTGATTGAACAACAACATCGAGATTTCTTCCTTCCGCAAATATCACTCGCAAAAACCGGTCAATCTCGCTGCGAAGATCACGTCGGCTGCGCCTCGCTGCGATCGTTCCACGTCTCTGAAGCCTCATTGACTCTCCAATGACACTCACCGAGAGTCACACCACGTCGCTCTTCTATCTATATCTACGTCGGGGTACGGCAGAATTATGAGGGATACACGCACACGCGAGATGTTCACCGCAAGATCGCCGGCAGGGTCGTCGCCACCGCGACACGGCGACGGCCGCGGCAGCCGGGGTGGTCCACGGAGCGTGACATCCTCCGTATCGGTCGTCGAAGTCTCCACACGCGCTTTCGGTGGGATCCACCGGCGGATGACAGTCCGGCCAAGATTACAAGGGCATTCGTTGTTGAAATTAGGGTCGCGTTTTAAGAACCTTACGTCGATCTTAATCACCCGCAAGCCATCCGACTCTGCCGACTACAAGGCTACTACTGCCTGCGAACCACGAAATCGGAATCAGTCTCACTTAGTTTCGTGAATAAGTCACTCTAAAAGCTATCGCCCGAACGACAATCGTAGATGACTCGCGTTGTCCCTGTTATCGGCCCGCACAGAACCCCACCGGGTAAGAAAAAAAGGACCACACACAGCCGCCAAGAAGTTAGTCTTCGGGGATCGTCACGGACTCGGTTCTCGGGGAATGGACGATACGGACGAGCGTACCGTGGGAGAGAAAGAGAGAGCCAAGCGTTCACCGGCTCGGGCTGAAACTCACTGAGTCGACTCTTCTGGTGCCCGGCAGGTCTGCCGGGTCTGCCCGTGACGCGTCGTGGTGAGGGATCGTGAGGCAGACGGAGAGGGAGTAAAACAGACAAGGAGAGAGGGAGAAAGAGAGAAAGAGTGAGGAACGACGTTGGTAGAGCGAGACGAGGAGTTGTGATGGAGGGTTGTGGGGCCCTAGCCCAACGTGTCCCCACCAACCGGCCCATTGGGTGCCCAGGGCTCCGACCATTATCTCTTCTTGAACAGTTCTCTGCCTTGCGCGAGACCCTACGTGGGGCAGGGGTATAGGGAGGGGTTGGAGGGCTTTATTATATTTACGAGGCGTTATCGAAGCAATCCAACAATATTGATTCCGCGCCGCGGAGCGATCAACCATCTCAAAGAACGCCCAGCCACGGACCCTTCTATGCCTCGCTACGTTTATACGCTACCGGAGGGCTCACACGGCGCCCTTATTCTTTTCACTCGTGCGCTCTCTCGACTCTGAGACTTTTTATTTCGTTCACCTTTTCGCCTTTAATGTCCGCCGAATGCGATCAAATCGCTCGCGCGCACGTTTTCTCTCGCGTGAATTACACGGTGACCATGGGCCCTTCGTTGCTGCCGTTGCTTCTGTTGTTCCGCTGCTCCGGGAATTAAGATGGGTGGGGTGCTTCATAAATTCGACTAGTGATCTTGATCGAGATCGAGTCGGTTTAGGGATGGGCAAGGATAATACATTAATTTCATTATGATTCTCTCATTTATAGCTAGTTCGCGTGCAAGGCCACAGAACGAAAGATAGAAACATTGTAAAAAGGGGAGAAGAAAGCATTTATTATCTTTCAATATTTTCCACAATTTGTTATACTTTAATAATACCTTTCATATAAAATGATATATTTTGTAAATTTGATATAAGATGATATGTTTTATAAATTTACTTGTGTATTTCTTGTAATCTGTTTATATGAAAAATTGTAATATTCATTACTATTGCAAAGTACTATTGGCACTTGGCATATTTATTAAGAAAGAAATTGAAATCGAATTAAAAAAAAATTGTCATTAAAATTTATAACATTCGATATTTTCTTATTTTAAAGATGTAATATTCTTTTATTGAGTCTTTCTGTTGTAACTTTAATGACACGAAAAGTTCAACGTAGATACATTTTATGAGTGTACTATACGAGAAGTAGGTCGCGATTTCTTGGTCTCTATAATTTGATTTCCATCGCTGCAGGACTCGATACTTTTATGATAATATTTAAGTTTCAAATTCTATTCTGACATCATGCAGCTTTGCGCATATAAATTATCTCATTAAAACCAACAGTAAAGGAACTTATATTTTTCGATTCACACCAACTGCTTCGTGTCATCATAAACATTACGAAACAGTACTGTCCATGTTTTCGCACAGTTACAACTGAAAGGTGTTACATCTTATTTTACGGTAACCACCATAAAAGGTATGTCTTCAGATATTTATCACATTACGCATCCCGATATTGTGCACGCAGTCGCATCGCTTAATCAAGCGCAATTTACACTCAACATTAAAATATATTCTACAAGTTTTACAAATTCTTTTTGAAAAAATTAGTTAAATATTTTCAAAGAATATATTATAAATATAATTTGCACTTGTTATAACTTGATATAAAATTATAATTTAATGAAATGATGTCTTTTTGGAAATAAAATAGAAAGATGCGAAGAAAAAACAAGATTATACATACGCGGTCAGTTTTTGCCTTAATTCGCTGGTTTATTCTCTTAACGTCTTCACGTATTAGCCTTTTCTTCCTGCAAGTCGCTTGTAAAATTACTCATTTTGTGCTCCGGTGACAACAAGGACAAATGATATCATCAGTAATACCGTCACAGCTGGAATAGCATATCAAGATCGTAAGAAACGTAACGGTCGTCGGTATTACCTTCAAAAGAAGAACTGTCCTGATTACCTCTTACACGCCCATTTGCGTGGTTGCAGTTGAATCATGTTAGAGACAGAATCTTGTCGCGCGCGCGGATGTGTGGGTGGGTGGATCGCGTAACAGCTGATCGTCCTCGCTGATCGGAACGCCAACAACGACGGTGCAGGAAGCTGCGGACGTTCCTGTAGTGTTATTCATTTGTATGACTCTCGGAATTTCATCTGTGTTCGATTTAGGCGTAAAGATAACGACGCAGCTTCTCTCTCTCTTTCTCTCTAGTTCCTCTTTTTGCTTCCAAGTACATTCGCGTTACAAAGTCTAGTGTGTTCAAATCATTGAGCACACACATACGCATGCGGAAACGCTATATACTGATAGAGTGCACGAGGTGGAGGAGTTGCTGATAAAGAACTAAATAAAGGATATATGTCAAGCGGCAGTGTAATCAGAGACTAAGCTTGACCTCAAATATTATGAGACATGTTTTAAGAAGATACGACTCATAAATTCCGGTTTTATGACGTGAGAACGAAAGTAACTACTGTTAATTTCTGTAAGCCACTGTACTTTACTTGCTTAAATCTTTATCAATATTTTTTTAATAACAATGCATTTTATGATGGCATTTAAAATTGTATTGAACTTTGAAAACAATGGAAATCGTCTAATTTAAAAGAATTGTCAAATTTTTATAATAATATTCAAGTGAAAATTAAATCAGCCATATCGAATCTTTCCTGTATTTTTTGACGCATATATTCATGCTAGTTTTTAATTCTTTTTTATACACGAAAAAAAACAATTTTGCTAAAGTATCTAAATATTTAAATATATACAAATCTGAAAATAATTTTGTTGGACTACTAAAATAATTATGCAGAAAATTCAGACATGACGAACAATGCTGTAAAAAATTTTGATATTCTAGCAACTACCTTATTCATAATTATTTTAACTCAATCCAACAAAGCTATTTTTAGATTTATATCTAGCTAAATTTATATCTAGCAAATACTTCAGCCTTTTCAGTATATAAATCTCAGACCAATTCTTTTCTCTATCGAGGAAGAGTATCAAAATAAATGTAAAGCTGTTGGATCTTCCGAGTTGAACTCAAATATACAGTTATAATATTCAGTGTGCGCATGAATGGAGTGTAATGTACCTAAAGTATGTCCTTCTTATAGCGGAGCCGAAGCAGCTTTCTCGCTTGGTTTCGCGCGACGCGATTTACGGTCGTCGCGATGAGAGAGGCTTCAAAATCGTGCGAACACCCTTCGCTTACGCCACTGATAGATGTAGGAAGTACAGAAGTGAGAGGAGAAACATCCGCGTCCCTCTAATCCCCGTGAAAGCGCATGATGCGTCCGCGGAAAAGGCGGGGAAGGAGACTTGATGAACTTGCCTCGTGAATCACCTCGCCTATAAAAATCGGCGCCCGATGCGTGAGAGAGATAACGTAGGGGAGGAGCGGTAACAACAGGTTTGCTTATGTACGCACGTATGAGATTCAGACGAAGGGAGACGATGGTAAGCGCGACGGAGAAAACGCTTGAACGATGCAACTGCAACACGTGCATCGCGAGAGAATGTTACGGAGGATCATGCGGCGGTGCATCGCGTTTAGAGCACATCGCGCGGCTGCGTGTGTGTGTGTGTGTGTGTGTGTGTGTGTGTGTATAGTGTTCGGTATATACGTGAAACGATATACACGATATACTGAACGCGATGCGTACATGCACGCGCGGGTACGCAATATCCACACTTGGCCTACCACGGCCGCATTGCTTGGTAATGTTCGAGTTCCACGCAGGTTGCGTCGGCGTAACGCGAGGATGGCGTTCCATCCACGTCGTGTTACGTTTATTGTTGCGTACACGTAAGCATGGTACGCTCGCCGCCGCGTGTGTTACGCGGACGTACGGCGGACGCGAGAAAAAAAATGAGGATAGGTGAGGGGAGATACAAAGAGAAAGAGAGAAAAGTGTGCTTACACGCGTGTACGCTTACACTGTCGTGAGGGGGGGGGGGGGGATTTCGCGATGACTCATGAGAAAAACCAACGATCGCTGCACGCGGTGTTCGTATCTTCCCCGCAAATATTATCGTGTGCAGGTGCGATGGTCCCGCATGCAACATGAGACTTATTGTGTGTGTTCTTTGGTGAACGAAACAACGGAGTCATTATAGAAATTGATTGATCGAGAAAATTTTATTGTTTAATACGTGGCACGTGGATAAAGTCTCAGACATTAATCGAAAGTTATAATTCCTTGCAGTTTGATATTTTATTGTAAGCATCCATTATCGTCACGCAAAATTAATGATATACGATTTACATATTAATGGAGATTTTACGTGTGTAAAAGTACGAATTTAAAAATTATAAATTCTAAATTAATATAATCTAGAAGGTATAAATTAAATGATAGAGAAAGCAAAAACTGATTATATAATTTGTAATTCATAAATTAATGTAATTTATAAATTTATATTTTCCTAAATTACATTATTAACGTCTGAATTATAAATTATATAATTAAATTCTTTTTTCTCTATCTTTTAATTTAAAATATAATGTTATTTAATGAAATTGTTACAATTATATTATTATATTTATTGTAATGAAACTACTTTTACATCATCATTTAATGCGGTTTCATAACATTCTATTTCTTTTCAATTTTGATGTCAAATTAGATTATCTTTATCCTCTATTTCTCGTAGGATTATCTTCTGACGCCATGACATTACGAAATCTTCTGTGTATAACAGTGAAGCACAATTGTATGATTCATGCGTCTCGCACGCATTAAACTCACTGAGGGTATGGACTAACGATTAAAATTATCAGTTAGTATCGTCATTGATTAACATATGAGTTTCATATGTGGCATTTCATCGCATTCACATTTGATTAGTCGATTGAATATCTCGATGCAGTTTAAACACCGATAGCCTGATGCCAACACGGCGGATCGTAATTGATTATGCGACTACGAACGCTTGTGAAACGCACTATTGTTCGATATTCTTCTATTTCTCAATGATCT